TTTAGTACATAGAAAGATGACGTATTAACGGTATAAGTATGTATCAGTAAATATTGTATCATGTTTTGTGATAAGTCATTGGTCTTATATACATTGCCTTTTATTGAGAGTGTAGTGACAAGTTCGGAATGGAGAATTTTACATGCTCTGATTATTTTTTTTGGTACGAAAGGATAGTAATATATTATAACTTAGTATGCATCACTACAAGAGAGTGGCAGGGCATGGCTACTGCTAGTATACGGGAAGGAGGGTAGGGATTGATTATAATATTTATTAATACTATTGGGCGATATACGCCTAACAAAGAGAGTTCTAACTTTGTCTGCTTCCAGTTTCCCTACTTCAAATGAAGGAGGAATTACCCATAACAAAACGGAGTTTGTCATCCTTAACTGCCTTGATTGGTCATTCTACTAGTGGGGAATAAGGAAAAAGTTTCGATGAATAGAGTATGGAAAGTGGTTTATATTCAACACAGAAAAGTCACTCGGCATGTCTTAATAATTAGGAGTAGGGGTGTATAAAATTGAGCCGAAAATCAAATCAAACCACAAATCGAGTTAAACCGAGAAAGAAAACCCAACTAGTGGTTGGTTTGACTTGGTTTGGTATTGAAAAAAAAAAACCCGACTATATTTGGGTTGATTTGGTTTAACTAAAAAAACCAATCCGAGACCAAGCCAAACCCGACATAATATATATAATTTTAAAATGTTATTTTATACATAAAAATATTTACTTTGATATAATTTTTAAATATTTCTTATACTTTTTCATAGTTTTTATCTTTTAATATATTATTTCAAGTTTAAAACTTAGAATTCTAAATGGTTTAATAAAGATTATAGTCCACAGATGTTGGTAATTATAATAAAGCTTTAAATCAAAATCAAATTAATACTAATGACAAAAAGAAAATCAATTCAACACTAAGAATGACAATAATATTGAATATTTGTTCTTTGATTTTACATTGGTTTAGACAATTCAAATACATAATCTAATTTTAATTTCCTTTAATTATTTAGTCATGTAACTAATACTTATTAAACTTATTTTAACATGATTTCGTACTTTTAAATTATGATCATTTTCTTTATGACTTGTTAATTTGCAATATTTGTTTTACGCGATTTTATTATTATTATTATTTTTTGTTGATTATTTTAGTGTCATTACTCATATCATATTTTGTGTTATTTTCTTAAGAAACACCTTAGATAGTTGTATTTTGATAGGACTAAAGAAATATTTCAAGTAAATTATATGTTTGTATAAATACTTTATCGGAAAACCCCGAAAAAATCCGAAAAAACCTGAGGTTGAAAAATCCGAGTTTAATTGGTTTGGTTTGGTTTATAAATTTAAAAATCCGACACAAATGGTTTGGTTTGATATTTGAAAAACCCGAACCAAGATCATGTACACCCCTAATTAGGAGTACTTGAAAATAATTAATGATTAGAGTACTCTGCACGCCCCAAAATTCGCAAAAAGGGCATAGTGTTGGCATATTTTGACATTAAGGCATATCATGTTGCCAAGTTGGCATTAGAGCATAGTGTTGGCAAGTATTGACATTTGAGTGCTTGCTTATGTACTTAAATTGATTTAAAAGGGGAAAAATAAAAGAGGAAGCAAAATATTACTTCTTTGGTCCACTTTTACTTGTCAAATATACTAAAAATGGATGTCCACTTTTACTTGTTTAGATTGAAATATTATAATTTATCACTTAGTTCATAAAAATGGATATCCTTGAAAAATCAAGATGTAATTTATCACTTAGCTCCTAATTTAACCCTTGTTACTAAATATAGACATTTCCCAAAAAATATTTGTAGTTATTATATTCAAATAGTGATATAGTAAAATTGTTATTCAATTTTATGTTTCTTGAGAGAGGTGTCAAGTCAATACTGGATAAGTAAAATTGGACAGAGGGAGGTAGCCCCTTTTATTTCTTTCCACAAGTGAGTGATTTAAATGTGGTAGGAATATCACTACCATGTCAATGTCATGGTTAACTACTTTTTTAGGTGTACAATTATCACTAATATTAACTACTAATCTAAGAAAGTAAAGCCTATATATTGACAAGAAATTGATTGGAAGAGATAAATGAAATATTTGTTGTTACTACCTAATTATCATATTCAAACCTAGTACTATATTAAATAGTTTGCCACAATTTGTGGTTTATCTTACTTGAGAGGGTAAAGTTGAAAGTTCTCCACATTTTCACAAGTGTGTCTCAGTCTTGATCGATCGATTTACCTAGTTAACCATGCTTAATCGTGTGGATGTTACATTCCCCAAACTGTGTCTCGGGCTTGATCGATTGATTTACCTAGTTATAACCATGCTAAATCCCACTATTTTGGGGAACGTAACATCCACGTGACAAAATGTACTAATTCAACTATCTCATAGACGATTATGTCTTAACCTTGATTGATTGATTCAACTATCTCTTGAACGAACGCCCTTTTCTTAATCAATTGAACAATAAAAGGATCACCTAACTTTCTAAATTCGATTTATATCCAGTGAATCAAGGTTTAGCTACTCTCGCGTTTTTTGGTGTTGGGGTGAATTTGGTGTTGTTCCTAACAAGAGTGCTGCAACAAAACAATGCTGAAGCTGCGAATAATGTGAGCATATGGACGGGGACTGTCTACATTTTCTCTCTTCTTGGCGCGTTTCTTAGTGACTCTTACTGGGGAAGATTCAAAAGTTGTGCCATTTTTCAAGTCATCTATGTAACTGTAAGTATCCATTTACTTGGCATGCTACTTGGACCCCACTTGTGGAATTACACTGGATATGTTGTTGTATTAGTAGTGATTCGTTGCACAACATCATATGCAAATTCAATGATCTTGAATTCTTGGAAGTAACTAGTAATTAATGCAATGATTATAACTTGTTAACAGGGATTAGTACTATTATCACTGACGACACAACGTTACTTACTCAAACCGGAAGGTTGTGGGGAACGAGAAACTCTATGTGGAGTGCATTCAAACATGGAGATCAGTCTATTCTATGTCTCTGTGTACATGATTGCTCTCGGATACGGAGGCTACCAACCTAACATTGCTACCTTTGGAGCTGATCAGTTCGATGCACGTGATCCTAGGGAGAAACAATCGAAACTAGCCTTCTTCAGCTACTTCTACCTAGCCTTGAACCTTGGTTCGCTTTTCTCTAACACTGTTTTAGACTACTTTGAGGATGAAGGCAAGTGGGCTCTTGGTTTCTGGGCGTCTGCTGCGTCTGCCTTTGCTGGATTGGTTCTCTTTCTTGGAGGCACCGCGAAGTATAGACATTTCAGGTCTAGTGGCAATCCTATAATCAGGTTTTCTCAGGTTATAGTTGCTGCATCGAAGAAATGGAGTGTAGAGACGCGAGAGAATGAAGACGAGTTATATGAAGGCGATGATGAGAGCAGTAGAAAAATGCTACATACTCATGGTTTCAGGTGAGTAACAAAACACTAATGTTCAAAGAACTTATGTCTGTACTGTATTTAACCCGTTCTAATAAAAAGTTGTTTTAAACGTAGATTCTTGGATAGAGCGGCCCTGATCACATCCAAAGAACAGGACAACGAGAAGCAGAGTAATCGCAACCAATGGCGCCTCTGCCCTGTTTCACAAGTTGAAGAGGTTAAGTGCATTTTGAGGCTGTTGCCAATTTGGCTATGTACTATAGTTTACTCAGTAGTGTTTACTCAAATGGCGTCAATCTTTGTTGAGCAAGGAGACGCCATGAAAACTACCATCGGAAACTTCAGGATTCCTGCTGCTAGTATGTCTACCTTCGACATCATGAGTGTAGCAGTTTTCATATTCCTGTATCGTCGAATCCTTGATCCTATAGTCAAAAACATTAAAAAGATCAAGGGAGAGGGTCAAGGGATAACTCAACTTCAACGAATGGGTATCGGACTAGTCATAGCTGTGATGGCGATGCTTTCAGCAGCAATTGTGGAGTGCTACAGGCTCAAGTACGCGAAAAAAGAGTGTACACATTGTGAAGGCTCAAGCTCTCTGAGTATCTTTTGGCAGGTTCCTCAATACTCTTTGATAGGAGCTTCAGAAGTGTTCATGTACGTAGGACAACTGGAGTTTTTCAACGAGCAAGCACCGGATGGTCTCAAGAGCTTCGGAAGTGCATTGTGTATGACATCGATATCACTAGGAAACTACGTGAGTAGCTTACTCGTGAGTGTTGTGATGAAAATTTCTACAACTGATAACATGTCTGGATGGATCCCAGGTAACCTCAATGAAGGTCACTTAGACAGGTTTTACTTTCTTTTAGCTGGCTTGACAATCTTAGATTTAGTTGCTTTCATAGCCTGTGCCAAGTGGTATAAGGGTATAAAGCATGGTGGTGAAATGATTCAACAAGTAAAGGAAGAAGATAAATGTGAAGTTTAATGTAACTTTCTCATACTTTTTTAGGCATATCTGTCACAATAAATAAATAAGAGGATGAACTATATCTCCTCAACTTTTGTACAAATTTACTTTTTAATACAAGTTATCGTTATTCTACTTATGGTTACAGTGCCTCTATCGAAGCAGAACAAGTCTAATACTTCAACCCTGGTTTTTGGGGATTCTATTTCGATATTCACCTGGAAACTCATATCTTTATATACGAACTCACCCCCCCCCCCCCCCCCCCCCCCCCCCCCCCCCCCCCCCCCCCCCCCCCCCCCCCCCCCCAAAATTCCTTACCTTACCATCAAGAGAATGCAGCTTCTGGAATGGGAATAGACCCATGCACAGAGGAAGCTGTTTCCAAAAACCTTTAAATAGTTCTGTTTTGCTTTGCCTGTCATCAACAACAACATACCCGGTGAAATTCCACACGGGGATTGTATTTTGGCATTGTTTTGCTTTACCCGTGATCGTGATATAGTAATTGTTTTCTGATTTCTGATACACCATGACATATCCAAATGGAATTGTGGCAATGATAAATTTTAAAATGATGCTAAACAAAGTTATCAAATCTTAAGCTTCCATTCTCAGATTTGATAGAAAGTTCATACAAAACTGATACAAACAATGCCAAAACAGATACATGTGTATCTCGAAATTGTAACTTTTTAAGAAGATTTCTCCAATTTCATCAAATGCGGAACTGTATATAAGAAACTGTATCCTAGATGTCTACCACTCAACATGATTCGACCAAAGAATACGCATATCAACTTTGGACCTTACGGACTTGTATGTGGTGAGTAGAATGCCTACGCCAGATAGGTTGTGCTCCACTTTGGACAAGAGTGACATATTGCCCATCCTTCACCGAGCTTTTGTTCTACAGGATACACGAAACAAAAGAATTAGCTGTGTTTTGCATGGAGTATCCTCAATCTCAAACAAGAAATGCCGAGGCAAAAACACATTAAAAAGACAGGAGAACATCACTAACCACTAAAAGCTTGATAGCTCGGGAAAAGGTCTCCTCTGCATCTTCTGAAAACTCCATATATATAGGGACGACACCATGAAACAGAGCAAGACGCTGCTTCACCCTTTCACTGGCACAAAAGATAGATTCATGTCCTATGTCAATAAATACATCCGTAAACACATCTTGATAGATTGATAAATAGAGAGACATGGAGAGGCCACTTGCTAGAGGTGGCAACATTAGCCCATGAAAACATGACCCGTCCATTTATTAAGCTCAGCCCATTTTAGCCAATCAATAAATTTGGATTGATATGTAGATCAAACTTACCCATGAGAAATCTTGTCAAAATATTTTCAAAAAGTCATTTTTTTTTATTTGATATATTTTATATATAAACATAATAAAGAAAAAGAATAGTTTTATTAGGTACTAAAAAATTATAAAAGAAACTAAAACTTAGTAAGAATTGGGGTTTGGGTTATGATATACTTTCTAATTCATTTTAACCCAACCCATTTCTGCCCATATAACTTTTGGGCGGGTTATTGGCCCACTTATTAACTCAGCCCATTTTGACCCGCTCAAATTCAGTTCAACCTGCCCATTTGGCAACATTATTCTTCATATAGCGTTAAAGAACTCAACACTTCACTTTAAAACACAGAGAAAATAGGCCCCCAAGGCCTAGCTCAAGTGGCAAAAGGTGGAGGATTTGTGGCTTGGGTCGCAGGTTCAAGCCCCACACCATGCAAAGCGAAGCCCGGTATTTAAGTGGAGAAGGGAAGAGGGGCGGGCCCATTATCCACCGAGTTTAGAAGGCTGTGATTGGTCCAAAGGGCGGGTCACAGACAGATTTCTCGGTTATCAAAAAAAAAAAAAAAAAAAAAAAACACAGAGAAAATAGCTCAGCAATGGAGCAGGTCAAGCGAAGTCCCTAAAGACTAATTGTGACTAGAGAAAGACTAAGCCATGACCCAAAATATTAATTTACTTACTTGTTCGTGAAAGCAAATATTGTTGATGAAGGCCGATTATGACTTAAAATTATTGCCATGGACCCAGTTCTTGTGAAGACAATGAGGGGAGTGCTAAGGGTATCAGCCATTGTGGAAGAGTGGAAGGCAAACATTTCACCCATATGGCCCTGCAAAATATATCAAACAGATGAGCATTTCGCGTAACAATAAAAGTTGAACGTAATTTCCTGGTTGGATAATATGGGAAATAAAAAAAGATAAAGATCCAATAATATATATAACTCTTATTGAGAGAAGGGTAATTGAAAAGTGAAGTTAACAAACTACAATACATATAATCCATACACCACATATACCTTATGGGCGACAGATTGACTTGGAGAACTAGTACTGTTTTGTAGGCTTGACTCAGTCCTTAATGCAACAACATGCATCACGTGAACTGCCTTCAACGGGTACCTATGCATTTGTGGAAATAGATGGTTCATTATTTACAAATCAACTATTCCAGGTTACTAAATAACACACAATATAACAAACAAAAAAACACAAAATAAAAGAGGATTCTAATTGAAATAGTTTGTGTCTAGAACAATACTTACTTCCCATGAGCGGTTTCCCCTGAAAGCATTACAGCATCAGCACCTTCACGTACTGCAATAGAAATGTCTGAGACTTCTGCCCTGGTTGGGGTTGGGTGATCTATCATGCTTTCAAGCATGTTTGTGGCTACTATAACAGGTTTTTGCATGCTCCGACACCTTCTAATAATGTCTTCCTGTGGATACATGTAATAGCATTTCTCAGTTCTGACTAAGTTCCTAAAGTAAGATACCAAAGGGTAAGGGGGTGAAGGAATTTCTCCAAGAGAAAAGATCATTGACGCCGGTGGCCAGAATGAATGCAGTTCAGTGGTCAATCCTGTTTCAGTAATTATAGCACTTACTTTTATAGTGTTAATTAAGAGAATCAAATTGATTATGTTAATAGATAGAAACTTTGGCCTCCTAAACTAGTGAACGTTTCCCTGTTGGTTTATTCCAATTTACATCAGGAATAACAACAATCATTTCCTTGCGACAAAAAATCACAATAAGTAACTAATCTTTGACAAGAGTATGATAATACCACACAACATTCAGTTCAGAAAAGAGGTGTAAATGTAGTTTGAAAGTAAACCATGCTGAATGAAAGAAGAGAAAAGAATATTGAAGAACAATAATTCTCCTATAATTGCAATGGGGTTTTATTGCTGCAGAGGTACCAGGGGGTTAAAAGGCTGAATGAACAGGACAGGTTTGTTTTGATGGGCACCACAGCTGTGTATATTGGAAAGACAGGCAGACAAACTGACACGGAGAAATAGTTCAAAGGTAACAGGAAACTCCAAGCTTAGTAGGTCGACTAACATACAGATTTTTCATATGCATCAGTGCTACGTTTCTCCTCCCGAACTACTAGGAGCATTTGATTCCAAATCTATGCAATTGAGTGATATTATAAAACATTCTTGTTCAGACTTCACCACGGAAATATTTATAATTGTAAGCCTACTGATATTTTAAACATTCTGGTTAACTTGCGATGGGATTATAACAACAAAAACTTTTGTGAAAAATCAACAGTAATACCACATAAATATATTCAACGATTACTCGCCTCCCTTCTATGATTTTGTTATATTTTGTTCACCATATTGACCAAAGAGCACAGATTTAACCAAGATGATGTGATTCGTGATGGAACATAAGTCTTCTTTAGCAAGAGATGGTATTATAAAGATCTAACCATCTCCGCACTTGATAACACCTATTAAAGGCTCATGAAATGAAGCTGTATGCATCGGCATTGAGATTACCTGCAGCAGTGGGACTTCCTCGATTGGAAGCTCAGCTCCAAGATCACCACGGGCCACCATTGCCTATCAACAGTTGCATAACATAACTTAGAAAGATGTCCAAAAAGATGTTAAAATAATTGCTGTGGTCATTTAGAAGATCAAATCGATGTAGCACGATTAACTTGGCTTAGATTGGCATTTTGATCTGCTAAATAAAACAACTAACTTCGCCAGTAGAATTGTCAATCAAAAGCTTTGAGACACCACCCATTAATACAATCAGAGTTCTGGGAAAGCAACTAGAACTACACAAGATTGACCAGCCCTTCTTCATAAGATGCAACTATATTTCTACAGCAAAATTTCCTACTTCTATTAATAATTTCTACTGCAGCCAGAAATACTTCCAACAAACATATACCAAGAAATAAGAAACGCAAATTAGAGATCAAATCCATTTTATTTTGCACCAACATTTTCACCTATGTTGCTCGGACTCTTCAAAAATGTTGACGGGTGCGTGTTAGATCCTCCAAAAATAGTGTATTTTTAAAGGATCCGACATGGGTGCGGCAACATTTTTGGAGAGTCCGAGCAACTTAGATTTACACTGCATCATCCTTCACTCAATAAATAGAAGCAAGACAATAATAATACTGATATCATTTTCGTTACGGAGCCTTACCCAACACGCTCAGTCACACACTGACATAGGAAAAATAGCATGAGTACTGAAGTTAATTAAATAGGCAACATTTTAAACACACTGAACTAACCCCATCAGATGCAGTTAAGATCGAGTGGAGATTTGGGATGGAGTCTGCACTTTCAATCTTTACAATAACATGAATATCTGCATTACAACCTGCAAAGTAGCTCTTCCAAGTTCAGAAAAAAAGAAGAAGGAATGCAACTATGAAAGCCTTTGACAAGGTTACATCCCTACAAATAATAGGTAGGAGATCCTTATCCCAAAAAAAACATAATAGGTAGTAGAAACTTTACTTTTAAGGTAATCTTTCAATTCATGGACCACCTTTGCATCCTTCACAAAGGAAACAGCATAGAAGTCAACTTGATTGTCCACGCCAAACTTAATATCATCCCAATCTTTCTCTGTATAAGTTACAAAAAAAGATCAAGCTAAAGTGTGGTCTTAGTAAAAAATTAGTAAGTAAAATATTGTAGGGAGGTTGGGTTCCAGAAATTGAACAAACCTGTTATTGAAGGTAGGGTGGCACTTTTTCCTCTTACGTTTAGATGCCGTCTTGATTTCAGTTCTCCCCCATCAATAACTTCACATTTCACTACATCGCTGGTTTTTGACTTCACAACTAATGACATCATCCCACCTGAATGAACAAGAGTAGGTAATTGAGATTACGGGACAAAAAGGTTTTTTTCCCAAGAGACAAAAATAGAAAATCTGGATCCAAAGAGCACTCTACTCATTATTGATTTATTTGCTTGAGATGCAACCCCATTCCAAAACAATCACAAAATGATATTTAATCTTTGCAAGAACAATTCACAATTCCAGTTTTGTGTGCTGCAATTAGTTAATAAACTAAGAAAAACTTAATTACATAATACAATTCCAGAATTTCACAGGAACTGTTAGACAAGACAAGTGCCTCTCACGTTCAACCAAAGGCCTTTTTTTAAGTCCTCTCGCACCGAAGCAAGTCCCAGATTTGTCTTTTAAAAACATGGTTTGTGCTATAGCAATGTTTCAGCTAAGGAAATAGTGTTTATCAAGAAAAAATGAATTAGTAGAAATTCAATTACCGTCAACGAGTAGTGTGTCACCCAACTCCACATCATTTATGAAATCGTCATAATTTACACTAACAGTGTCTTCTGTGATGACTCCTCTTTTAATGGTAAAGTTGAATTCTTGACCCTCCTTAAGGAGTATGGGTTGTGGCACATCTCCACTTCTCACCTCAGGTCCCTACAAGATATATCATAGGCAACATAAGAATATGACAGGAAGGGGCTCGTTAGCATAGTGTATAATTGTCCTATAACGTATATCTCATCTTAAAACACTAAATAAGCAAGTTACTTTAACTATCGCATTTGGGAAGTGGAAGACTACCATGACAGGTTTCACAGTCTTCATAATAGAACAAAGGTCAAGCATGACAAAGAAGACATGGTTATGCACATTGTAATTGGCAACTGGATAAATATCCAAAATGTATTAACTTGTCTATAGAACAACATGTGACATTAGCAATTCTTTACAACTGAAGATGACAATCTAGCAACAGAAGATGGATCTCAATTTTCATTTCTTTTAGTCGATAGCTCAGTTCCAACAAGACCTTCATATCAGTTGAAAAAAAACAAACTAAATTGACTCACCCATTTGCGAACTTGTGAATCCAAAACAAAATGAACAGTATAACAGCTTTTAAGTCCCAGATACCCAAACTTACAAGTCTATTTCTTGATGATGCTAGTGATAAGTGGTAGCCACAAGAACAGGAATTGGACAGGATTTTCAGTGTTCACTCTGTTTACTTTGGTAAAACACAAAAAGAATACTAAGGAAATCAGTAACCTTGTCCATCAATCCTCGACATGCCAAACTGATCACTTGAAAAGCAGTTTTTACCATCTAGTCGCCCTAAAGTTTAGTTTATAAGAGGAAGGAGCACAAGTCTTTGTTTGATAATATGAAAAGGATGGTTTGTCTATTCACCTAGATTACTTTACTACCACCACCACCCCAACCCTTCTCACGTTGTTTCCAAGGATTAGCAAAATCGAAATAGTGAAATTCTTAGGTCATCTCAATGGGTTCAAAAGCCACCAAAGCTACATGTATTTGCTTATGATATTGACACTCCCAGCTGTGGTAAAAAGCAGGACAACTGAATCCCAAAAAATTTGCTAGACTCAAATAACCCACTCTAATCGAAAAAATATTAAGGCATATGCTATATTGATTTTGTTTTCTTTATAACATTGATGTACGGGCCAACTTGTGTGCACCTCGCTTTTTCCGCCGGATGCCTGTTACTTCCCACCAACACAGCCTATCAAAGCTTATACAGATGAGAAAAATCACCTAGTTTTCTTATGTCTGCTTAGATTTAAACCCTGGTTTTCAAGGCTTACACCCACTTAATTGACCACTAGGTCACACATCGGGTGCATAAAACTATGTGATCATATTTTAGACAAACACTAATATTTGCAACTAGGGAGCTAATAATAAGCATTACCTTAGTGTCCAACATTATTGCTATAACCTTGTTCTCAAATTGAGCATTGTATTCTTTAACAAGGTCAATTGTTTTCTGATGTGATGCATGGTCTCCGTGTGACATATTCATACGTGCCACGTTCATTCCAGCTTCTGCCAATTTCCAGATCATCTCCTTTGAGCTTGTAGAGGGACCAATTGTGCAAACTATCTTGGTTTTTCTTGGAGAGTTCAGATACACACTTTCCTTTCCCAGACTGTAAGGACTGGACTGAACCACAGAAGGGAGAAAATTACCATAAGTTGCTTTTAAGAAAAAAGACTCATTAGAATGTTCAAAATATGTGCTGTTTACAGGAAACAAATGGCTAAAAGGGAGAATTTTGATAACGAAAAACAATACATCAATATAAGTTTCTGTTTGCTCAAAATACAAAACATCTATTAAATGTGAAAACTTTTGAATAGGCATGTGCAAAGCGTCAGATGCATTCGACTCTTTACTAGAAAGAGGCGGTTAGAATTTGTTTGCTCTTGTAACCATATGTTCCTCGCCCTTCTCTGGGATATCCAAAAATCACAAACATAGGACCACTGATAATGAATGAAAAGCCTTTGCAATAGATGGCTAACAGAGCTTACTAAAATAAGCATCAATTGCCAGAAAATCCAGATGTATTCACATCCTTCCATTTACTTAAACGTTTAGTTTGAATAATATACAGGGGATGCATTTTCTCAAGAATAAATGTCATTCTCGCCAATTAAATTTCATATACTTCCGCATCTAATGCACTTTGTTCAGACGGCAAGCCTTGAATCAACAGTAAGAGGCTTGCAAGATAAATATTGCATAGGAGGCGAACCAGGATTTTCACTAAGTTCAAAATCTGAAAAAGTAAACCCACAACTAGCCTAAAAGAGTTCGACATCTGCTATATATATATAAAAAAAAATAAAAAAATTAACCATATATAAATAATATAATTTTTGGCCGATGAACCCCTGATCCTGTCCTGCACTAGCCGGGAAGCGCTTCATGCATAAATAAGCTCTTTTTAATTGCACTTTCTCTATGCAAAACTCAAACTTTAACAAATGAAAACGTAAAAACCACAGGTCATTATTCAATCTTTAATAAGGAGCTGAAATAACAGGTAAATCAATAAACAGAAACAGGCAGATACATCAATAAATATATACTCCGTTCCAATTTATGCAACACAGTTGCAAATGTCGAGATTCAAACTTTTAAAAAGGTTGAACATCAATTACTGCGAAAAGGAAAGTGGATTGACTTACAGATGACGTAAGAGGTACATTGAAATTACTGTTATCATCATCATCATAACTAGCATGAACATTGTTATTAGCACCACGAATATGGTCAGGTGATTTAACAGCCACGATTTGACTCAAACCGTTCACTCGTTTCCGGTGGAAACGTAAATCGGAGAAGAACAAATCACCGATGTTCTTTGCCGATGAAAGCCGATCCAACGACGCGGCTGATTTAGCCGCCGCGTCGGATTTCAATGCGGCGTGTAGTCCTCCTGTATGCAAATTCAATGTCGCCATTAAAGTAGTAGTAGAAGAGATGAAGAGTTGATAGCTACGAAGACACGAGAAGAAGAAGAAGAAAAAAATGGAGCAAGTGTTTTGTGTTTGTTTGTGGTGAAATGAGGGGAAAGAGACGTGAATACCAAAGAGAAGCGGCTCAGAGTAAATAGAGAGAGTTGTGACTAGGATTCATTTTCTACTTTTCTCTGCCCTACTTAAACTGTATTACTCGTCCCCACCCCTTCTTCCATACACACCGCACGTTTGTTTCACACTCCCCCCTCATTATGGGGAAAATGGTCCAATTTTGTTCATTTTCTCAATTCACTTCTACTTATAAAACTCATATTTCACATTAATCTAAAAGAAAAAGGATAAATATATTTCTGAATTATCGTCTCTCTGTTATATTTTTGAGATATTGGTGCCTTTATCGTAAAAAACTAGAGCATATATACTCTTTATACTAACGAACATACACGTGTTATAATTTTATCTACCGATCCGACATTTATTAAATATCGGATCGACGGATAAGATTGTGCCACTTATGCCTATTTAGTCTTCCGTTAGAGTCAAGGGCATATATGATCTAGTTTTTTAACGGCATGGGCAGTGGCGGAGGCAGGAATTCTATCAAGGGGGTTCAAATAAAAAAAATGTTGTTGCCTGGAATCGAACCCGTGACCCAAAGCTCACATAGGCTGAATCCTGACCCCCATAAACCACTGAGCTACTCCTTTGACATATGCTCAGGGGGTTCAATTTTAAATATATACACGTACACAAAAAAATTGATCTTATATATATAGTGTAATTTTTTTCCGAGGGGGGTCGGATGACCCCCCTGGACACACTATAGATCCGCCCCTGGGCATGGGCACAATGTCCCAAAAGTATGACGAAAGGTGTCTGCATACCATTTACGATAGTTCGGGGGTATATTTGTTATTTTCCCCTTAATCTAATTGTGAATCTTCAACAAATCCGTTTAAAAAATAATGGGCTAATTTTCTTTTTAGTTTGCTTAAAAAAGAATGACCTCTTTCCTTTTTTGACAATACTTTAATTTCAATTTTCTACGTGGCATGTTTAAGACCACAAGATTGAAGGGTATTTTAGTACATTTGACATAACTTTAATTTAGAATCACTAGATTAAAAAGTTTTCTTTCTTTTCTTAAACTTCGTTCTAAGTCAAAGTAGATCATTCTTTTTTAAATGAAGAGAGTAACATTTACTTCGTATAGAATGATTTTAAACAAATATGAGATCGATACAAACATAGTTAGGTTTACTAGATCGATGTAAACGAGATGTGTACTTGAAGAGTGGGTCCCAAATTGATATGTTTTTTAATAGTACCATATATTATGATATTTAAGATCTTGTGGTTCGATAAGAACTATGTGACAATGACAAGTAGGATAACGACAATGAATGTGGGGGAGCATTGTTCAACAGACTCGCTAGGTTTGGCATAGATTCCCATATATTTTAGGAAATTCAAGTTGGTTGTGGTATGAGATTATGATTTGATATTAAATTTAAAATTTAAAATTTTTAAGTGATAGTTTTTCATATACATGAAAAGTTTCATAATTTTTTATTTTTATATAATTTTATCAAATAAGTAAAGTGTAGCACATAAATAAGATATCGAAATAATCTAAGGCGTCATATTGACAAATTACACATCTCGATCGCTTTATGTTTGTGAGTACATACTTTAAAAAATAAATATTTTATGAAGATTCATGTCCCCAAATCGTAAGTCCACTCCAAACACATGCCAGATTTGGTTGAGAACAAGTCCGAATAACTTATTGCTTTCGCAAAAGGCCTGAGATATACACCATTGGACCATTGCACCAAATCAGTTTTTACATTTCAAAATTATCCAAACGGTCGGCCCATTTTTCAGATGCTGATCCAATTCCAAATTAGAATAGGCCCGGTCCATTATATTTTCATTTCTATTTAAATGTGACTACGCCTAGTGAAATCTTTTACAATACACAGATGTACACACCAATTTATTACACTATGAAATGATAACTTTTCCCCCTTTTTCTTCTCCCTTTTAGGGTTTTCTCAAATTCATATCGCCGCATGGATCTGCAATTTTGTAGATCTAACAGTTACTTGCTGAGCAGAAGAGCTGAGAAAATTGCAGTGAATGTGCTTCAATTCCAAACCGAAGGCAAGGATTATGTTAATTTCAGCTCTTCTGCACCACCTGTTGGAATTGGAGCTAAAGATGAAGAGGTAATGGAATCTTTGAGAGATGGGAGTTTTAGTATTATTGAGATATGTGGTATGGAGGGAGTAGGAAAGAAAAGCGAGGAAGGTTGTTTGATGATGTTGCTGTGTTAACAGTTACATAGAAATCAGATTTGAAAAAAATTCAGAAGGAAATTCCGAATGCAGCGACCTCAAATATTGATGCAAAGTCACATTGACTATGTCTGTCCGCAATATTTGTGAGTACGTTAAAGTTGGAACATTATCTGAAAAACAAATTTGAATTCTTTTTTAGCAGAAAACTGATAATTCAATTGATCATCATTCTCTTCCTCGCATAGCAAAAGATGTTGCAAAGTAATGCAACGGTTTGGCTGGTTGCACGAGCATTAAATTCATCACAAATTTCATAAGCAAGAAGCTATGAATTTTTGGAAAGTGAGGAAACTAGGTACCTCTTTTTGCTTTGTTCTTTGTTCGACTAAAATAGTAATATTTGACGAGATAGGTCATCTCTTAGAAGTTGAAAGATGGTTTCTTGTTATCGTTGTCGAAGTTTCACTAACATTATATCATCTGATATGTGGCAAGCATGTTTTGTGCTAAATCACATTGAGAATTTGAAGAATTTTCAAAAAGAACTTATTACGAACAATACAGTCACATGTCAATTGTTTCAAAAGATTATTGGTGAACTTATCATTTAAAAACTCTCAACATCAAAAATTATGTTGCAGAGAAGATAGGAAAATTGACCAATCTAATATGTTAAGAAATTTGGAATGAGGAAAATTGATCAATCTAATATGTCAGAGTTTTGGAATGAGGCAACAACAATTTCAGGAGGGTCTTATCAAGACTAGTTTCATTGAAGGAACTATGTATTATGAAAGTAGAATTGGAATTCTAATCATAATTGACTACACCAACATCAATCGGATGTTTTGGAGATGTGATTCACAGTAACTTGGGCCTTTGTTCCAAGTTAACACGATACGCTTTAAAAGTAAACCAAGGTGTGTTTACCCTGTGTTTTGCCAATGAATACTTATGAAAGGAATATGGATCTCTCAGTCATTGAGACCACCTCATTGGGTGATTGGATCTGCCTCCTGTAGAGAAACAGTGAACGTCTACTTTCAAGCGGAAATGGCTCAAAGAATGTGCCACCTGAGTTGCTACTGGATGGATTTCAATAATTGAAAGAATTGCATCTAGATGGTTGTGATTCCCTAATACATTTGTTAAAGATCCACCGTCAACAAAATATTATGTTCCCCAAACTCAACGGTTACGTGTAAATCATTGTGATAGTATACAATATCTTTACTTGTCTGTCTTCAACTAGGAGTTCGTTGAAACTTGAAGACTTGAGAGTAGCTTGCCTTGATGACAAGGAAGAGCATTTTAAATAGCTCTTCACTTCATGTTATCTTTGATATAGGATGAGATATTGTCCCCTTTTTTCTATTTGTCCGAGCCTGGAACAGATAGATCTCGTTGGGGATGATAGCATAACTACTTAATGCTCTCACCAACTTCCGATAGACTACATCAACAAACTTGAAATATTGGAAGTAATCGAGTGTGGTAAACTGAGAAACTACAAAAATGAAGTTGTCCGTTGATGGAAGAAGTGATCACGGAAGAGAACAACTAGGAGAAGAAATGACTAACGGGTCCTTATATAACCAACCTCGGTTAGAAGAAATGACTACCAATCTCTTCTTCCAGGAACAAAAAGTTAGTGATGATGATGAATCTGAAGCTGGAAATAAGTAATGTCTATTGTCTATCAAATCTAAAACTAGCGGGTATTCCTCCCATGGTAGCTAGTCTCAGATGTTCTTCGAGTACACGAAATATATGATCGTTTTTCAAGGTATATATACAAATATACATAATTTGTTCCGCCTCTGTAATAATATCTAAGGAGAATAATGCAAATATCCTTTCATTTTCTCATGTAAATTTTAATTCCTTTTGAAATTAACATGTTCAACATTTCTATGCATTTTATGTAAAGATCTTAGCCAAAGGTTAAATAAAATAAAAAATATTTATAACGATTGATGATAGGGATGGACATGTGTGCTCCTTCTGTTTTAGTTCATGGGAATTTATTTAACCACGAATAGAGTTGTAAGAAAAATAATAACTTTGGGATTTGTAGTTTTAAATATGTCATAACATTTGTGTAACCATAAGAGTTACAAAATTTGGAGAAATAAAATCTTTTGTCTACTTACCATTTGAATTTGAATATAAGAAAATGATCTTTCATTTTTCCGGTTTCTAAAAAAAATGAAGATCCCTTGTAAAAATTAGGACAAAAACGAATTTTCTTTGTGAAGGCCTAAAAAACTATTTCTCTCGAAAATTTCTGAATTTTATATCATAAATATTAGAGAAATTAGAATCCCTCGAAAAGTAAAAAGTAAAAACTAGTTTTTTTTTTTTTTTTTTTGGTTTGATAAATTAGACTCTCCAAAACGAACTAGATTAGAAATAATCAAAGCATATTTCAAACAACTTGCACCTTTTAAATCCTTATAAAATAGTACTAATTAAAGTGTTTGCTCTTTATATATTATATATGATGATAAATATGCAAATTGCAATGCAACCCAAGACAAGAATTAGATTCTATTATTATTTTGATATATAAAGATGAATCCTTTACTCTATTTTATTACTAGATTAAGAATCCAATTCTTGAATACAACATAATCGACTATTTACGAACATTATAATTTACCACTACATAAAAAAAAAACCTTTCATTGGATTTTAACACAAACCATCTCAAAACAAGCGTTTAGCAATCATAGTATCAAAATGGTGTTTTTTGAGACCAAAAACATCAAAAAACCATGATCCAAGGAGGAGCTAAAATATATGTCCAAGAATATCCAAAAATCACAGAAGGAGAAGGAGAAGGAGCTAAAACGTCTTCTAAAGGAGTGCCAAAACAAAAATGACGAGAGGACACCGATCGAGATGATAAAAGTGATACATATCTTCAAATTTTGGTTTTGTAATTATCACCATGATGACCATATATTTGATGATGAGATGAATGCACTTATTAAATATGCTGGCAAATGGGGTTATACATTTGCATAATATAAATTTGTCTATGTACTTTCATATGTATCAGAATCTACTGGTCTGATTAGTTCAAATTCTTCTTATGTAGAATCAATATGATTCTCTAGCACGGATACCCGAGACCTCTGATAAGTGATACCTCTTCTTGGAAGAATTTGATTTGCCTATGTAATATGATCTTATTAAACTTTGTGAAATAAATAAAGTACTAAAACATTTGTATAGTTTAATTTGTCTTTGTAGTAATTTCTTCCCTCGCTTATCATTCAATATCAAAAAGTAGAATGTCACATGGTAATGATGTTATATAACATTCATAAAAACAACTTTACTATATCAAAGACATCAAACAAGTAATTATATCAAAATAGACTAGAAAATGAAAAATGAAAAATGAAAAATGAAAAATGAAAAAATATATGATACCATGTAGTTTATTGTGTGTACTGTTCTTAAGAAATTTAACTCCTCACTGCATTTTAGATGTTAAATTACTTTTTTCCCAAGATAAATGGATATATATGTCACAAGATTAGTAGTACTCAGAAGCCTATTACTTCATCAAACTCAAAAACAGTCTCAAATCACATGAAGACTCGATTTTTATTTGTAAGAAAATATGTAGAAATAGCTCGAAATTTGATGCAGAAATCGATGGTAAGCCTCTCTATTTATAGCTGAAATTTTGAGTTGAAATGATCCGAAATTCTGCAAGTGAGGTTCAAAGAGGGTAAAATGTACGCAAAATTTGGCTTAAGAATTTGAAATAATTATATCAAAATAGTGTTTGCACTAAATTTGACAAATTGATATAATGATATTCAAATAGTGTTAACTTGTTGCCATGCTTAAAATTTGAAGAAGACACGAAAAGGCAAATCCAATCTTTTTATATACATACAACTAGGGGTGTACAAAACCGAACCAAACCGTAAATCGAGTCAAACCAAACAAAAAACCCGACTATTGATGTCGTTTGACTTGGTTTGGTATTGAAAAAAAAAACCCGACTATATTTGGGTTGGTTTGGTTTTAACTAAAAAAAACCAACCCGAGACCAAACCAACCCGACATTATATATGTAATTTTAAAATTTTATTTTATACATAAAAATATTTACATTGATATAATTTTAAAATCTTTCTTATACTATTTCATAGTTTTAATCTTTTAATGTATTATTTCAAGTTTAAAACTTAAAATTCGAAATGGTCCAATAAAGATTATAGTTCATAGATGTTGATAATTATAATAAAACTTAAATCAAAATAAAATTAATAATAATGCAAAAAGAAAATCAATTCAACACTAAGAATGACAATAATATTGAATATTTGTTCTTTAGTTTTACATTGGTTTAGACAATTAAAATACATAATCTAATTTTAATTTTCCTTAAATATTTAGTAATGTAACTAATACTTGTTAAATTTATTTTAGCATGATTTAGTACTTTTAAATTATGATCATTTTCATTATGACTTTGCAATATTTATTTTATATGATGATTTCATTATTACTTTTTATTGAATATTTTAGTGTCATCACACATCTCATATTTTGTGTTATTTTCTTAAGAAACACCTTAGATAATTGTATTTTGGTTGGACTAAAGAAATATTTGGAGCACAAGTTAATTATATGTTTGTATGCAAACTTTACCGAAAAAATCAAAAAATCTGAAAAAATTAGAGGTTTATTAGTTTGGTTTGATTTATAAATTTAAAAATTCAACACAATAGTTTGGTTTGGTATTTGAAAAATCCGAACCAACCCGAGGTTGAAAAACCCGAAAAAATCCGAATTTTATTAGTTTGGTTTGGTTTATAAATTTAAATTTTTTACACAAATGATTTGGTTTGATATTTGAAAAACCCGAACCAACCCGGTCATGTACATCCCTACATACAACAATAGATTTTGTATAATGATAGTAAAAATAGTGAAAGGGGAATGAAAAAGGTAAATATATAAAAATAATAATATGGGTTCATATAATTGTAAGAATATAAATAAGAAAACAAAATAGGTGTTCACCAAAAATATATACATGCAAATGCAACTTGGAAGTTAAAAGTTACCCAAGACGAGAATTAGATTCTATTCTTATCTATCTATAGAGATAAATCCTTTACTCTATTTTATTATTTAAAAAATCAAGAATCCAATATAAAGATAAACCATTTACTCTATTTTATCATTTAAAAAGAAATCAAAGAATCCAATTCTTGAAAACAACATAATCGACTATTTACGAACATTATTCACCACATTTAGCTCTATAAAAAAACCCCTTCATTATATTGTAAGACAAACGTTTAGCAATCATAATATCAAAATGCGGTGTTTTAGGACCAAAAAACTCAAAAAACCGCAATTCAAGGAGGAGCTAAATTATACATCCAAAAATCTCCAAAAATTGGAATTTGAGAAGGAGAATGTTAAACGTCTTCTAAAGGAGTACGACAAAAATGGTGATAGAAAATTAAGCAAGAGAGAATTGATAGAAATCTTCTCATCATGGTTTAGTGGTTTCAAGCCTGCAATGAATGATCATACTTATATTAACGACGATGAATATTATGGTCTTGATGATAAGATTGATGCACTTGTTAAATGTGCTACTAATTGGGGTTATACAATTACATAAATGTAAATTTCTCTATTTAGTTTTTTTTTAGTGTTTATTTTTGGGTTACTTTTGGTGTATGTATAGAAATTTACTAGTTTAATTAGTTCAAATTTGTCTAATGTAGAATCAATATGGTCTTTTTGCGCGGACCTTTGGTAAGTGGTACCTCTTCGTGAAAGAATTTAATTTGCCTTATGTAATATGATCTTATTAAGTTTTGTGAAATAAATGAAGTACGTACCAAAACTTTGTGTAGTTTAATTTTTTTTTACTAATTTTTTCATCGTTTATCGATTATTTAATATCAAAAAGTAGAATGTCACATGATAAGGATGTTATAACATTCAAATAAACAACTCTACTATATCAAAGACATCAAACAAGTAATTAAATCAAAATAGACTAGAAAATCGAAAATTTGAATTAAAAAATATTTGATACCACATAGTTCGTTGTTTGTCCTAAATGAATTCAACTCCCTCATTGTATTTGAGGTGTTAAATTACTCCTTTTTTTCAAAATAAAATGGATATACAAAGAGTAGCAGTACCTTAAACGCCTATGACTTCTTTAAACTTAAAGATAGTCTTAAATCACACGAAGATTCAATTTTTATTTGTAAGAAAATATATATAGAAGTAGTTCAGAATTTGATGCAGAAACAAATGGTAAGCCTCTCTATTTATAGTCAATTCTTTGTTAGTTGAAATGGTGCAAAAATTCTACAAGTGAGATCTAAAGAGGATAGTATATATGCAACCTTATGAATTATGCTAATTTTGCATCATGCAGACGATTTGACAAAAATTCTTTTCAAATTTAACCGTGCATATGTTTTCTTTAACTAAGCACCAATGCTTTATTGACATTATGATCGGGCTGACCCTGATTATAATCTAAAACATTAATATTTATATGACTATATAAGTATTTAATAAGAGAATAAAAATAATAAAAAGAAAATGAAAAAGGTAAATATAGAAATAATAACGCGGGCTCATGTAATTGTTAGAATATAAACGAGGCAATAAAATAGGTATTCATGCAAGAAAGATATTACAATTACCTAAAAATGAATCGAATTATTACAACGATCCTCACATTAAATAAGGTCAAAAGTTGTCTTTTTTACCTGAAAGATTCTTTTCAAATTTAACCGTGCATATATTTTTTTAACTAAGCACCAATGCTTTATTGACATTATGATCGGGCCGGCCCTCATTATAATCTAAAACATTAATATTTATATGACTATAAAAACTTCTCATTAATAATAAATGAAAAGTTAAAATTAAATTATTTTCAAATTTAGAAAGAGTCATTTTTCTCTAAACGGACTAGAAAGATTCATATAAATCAAAATAGAGCAGTATTTGTTAATGGATATTGATAAGGTCGTAAACTTTTTTTTTTAAAAAAGAACCTCTCTCCCCTCGATACGTGTTTTTTCTCTGCTTCTATTGTTCCTCACTTTTTAAATAGTTTCGAAAGATGTTACTATAGTTAGACTTCTTTATAACATCAATTGTTGTTAATCAGAAGTGGACCAAGGGTAACGATGTCACATAATACTGCCTCATTTAATTTTCTACTTTATATATATTAAATGACATAGTTGTACGACACTCACTATGTGAGTGGTGTAGACACCACTTTGCATGTGTTAGGTTTCTAAGGGAACACTGACTAAATGATCGAAATCAAAATAAACGTTTGTTAAATTTATAATATATGATAAATTTTTCAAAATGTATATATATGTATCGAACTTTTCTGAAATCAATTTGAAAATATTATAATTTTTGTCATATTATATTAATCTTATATTCAATCTAGCTACGTCATATATATAAATTGAAAGGAGAGAATAATTATTAAGAAAAACTTCAACTCAAAGCTCAAAACAACGACCAATAAAACTCTTTCTCAAATTTGCTTTTCTTTTGTGTGGGGCCCTGTTTCTCAAAATCATGCACTTTTATTCCATGTCATATTTTCCTCAATTAAAGTATGTTAGATTTTTCGTTGACTAATAAATAGCAGCCGATCAACAACAAACTCCAATTTTCATCAGAAATCTCAATTTTAAATTTTGAAAATAAAAATTTCCAGTTAAAAAATTTATTATTATGGGTCTAGTAGGTGTACTAGTAAGAAAGCGAGGTATTGAATTTAGCGTGAACAAAATAAATAGTAGATCTTTATTATCGAATGATATAGAAGACCGTCAAAGCATCAGTCTCAATATCAATAGAAAAAAATGATTAACCAATCGCCATTTAAGAGATATCCCGAAGGTTTGAACTTTTTTTTATAATGCGCGATTCAAATTTAATTGTGTCTTAATATTAACATTTAACATTGAATAAAAAAAAGAGAAATAATAAACGTAGTGTATTTTCATAAGTAGGAGTTCTTGCCTCGGGAGTAGCGTAATTTGTACACATTTTTATTTTTATTTTGTGAGAATAGAGATATGATTTTCAATGGATTATCGATTCAAATAAAACATATCAAAATAATATGAAAGAAATTAAAGTAATTATTTTTTGAAAAATAAAATAACAATAACATGGTAATCAAAACAAAAAATCAAGAGCGAAAAAAGAACATAATACTTCCTCGATTTTAGTTATATTATCTGGTTTTTTACTTACACAAAATTTAAGAAAGTAAATAAAAACTTTTAAATCTTGTGCTCTTATATAAAAGATACTTAAACTATATCAAAATGTCTTTTAATTTTGTGATTTAAAATATGCTATGATGAAAATTTGAAATTAAAATAATTAGTAAAATGAAAAAGAAATATTCTTTTTTAAATGGATTAAACAAAAAACTAACTAAATTGAATATTTTCTTAAACTCTTACCTAAGAGTTCCCACCTTTTCGCTTTCTTGGTGACTCGATTAAAAGTAAGATTATTTATCATTCGAGCAACTTCCTCTCATCAAATAAATCAATACAAAAGAGTGACAATTTAAAAAAAAAAAAGAAGAGAAAAGATATAACAGTTCCTAAAATGGAAAAAACAAAAAAAAAATACAAAAAATGTTTTTCTATTTTCTAGCTCATATTGAAATTGCTATTTTTTTTTTCTTAATAAACAAAATCCCAAAAGAGAACACACAAAACCAAAAAAAAAACCAAACACAAAATAAAGCAGCGCCATACAAAAAGGTGAAAACCTTCCAAATCCCCTCTTCAATGGCTTCTTCCTTGGTTTTGCCTTCTCCTTCTTCAGCTTCAACTTCTTATTCTACTCCTCTATTTTCCTCTTCTCGCTCTTTTCTCACTCATAAAAGCTTCGTTCCCAAACGAACCCGTCTTCGGACCTCTGTTGTAAGTCCTTTTACATGAATTAATTTTTTTTTTTTGGTTTTTTTTTGGATGTAAAACAATGCGTCCGACCTATTTGATGAAAAGGGTCTCTGAGAAATTGATTCTTTATATTGATTGTGTAGTATATTGCTCAAATGGAATTGAATTTACAGAGCATTTCTATGCTTTTAGGTTTCAGTTATATGGTTAAAGGTTCAGTTTTGGTTGCTGAAAAGTGTATGCTATGCTGCTTATGGACATTTGTTTGTTTTAGGCTTAATACATGGATAACCAATAAATTTCATTTAGACACTCGAGCTCTGCTGTAAGTCCTATTACATGAATTGATTTGGGTTTCATTTCTTTTTTTGTTTAATTTAAAACAATGTCTGCTACCTATTTGATGAAAAGGGTTTCTGAAAAATTGATTATTTATATTGGTTTTGCAGTGTATTGTTCATATGGAATTGAATTTACATAGCATTTCTATGCTTTCATGTTTCAGTTTTATCTGTCGAAACTTTGTTAAAGGTCCAATATTGGTTGCTGAAAAGTGTGTATTTTTTTAAAATTGAAACTGAAAAGTGTATGCCATGCTGCTTATGGGTATTTGTTTGTTTTAGGCTTACTTAATACATGTACAACCAATAAATTTCATTTAGATGCTCAAACTATGCTTGTTACTATTGAGCACTTGAACACATGTTCTTATTATACCTTTGTTTTTTGTTAAGATGCCTTTACTATTTGTTTTTGCTTTTAAAATGTTATTCTTTACTTTTCTATGTAGAAGCTTTTATTGAAAGCAAGTCATAAGAATCTAAGTGCTGAAAAACATATTTAGTGCTTAAGCTGATTTAACAAATAAACAGTTATGTGATTGGATAAAACTTAAAAGTGTTGAAAGTGATATATAAACCATTGATGTGTATGGTTAAAATGACAAATGCTTTTAAAGCTATATACAAATAATATAAATTAAAAGAGTGTCTTTACAAGGAGAAAGATGAATGTAGAAATGGAATGCCAAAGGAGTTAGGATTTGTTTTGGGAAGAGTATTTTGGGTATTTAAAAAGTTATTAGGGATAAAACTGTGTAAGTCTTGTCAAACCGAAGTGCTTATAAGCTAAAGACATAAGTTGGGCTGCACATCGTATGGCTTTATAACTGTTTTGGATTATAAGCACTTTTGGTTTTTCCTGAACATATAGATTAGTCAAAAGGTGCTTATTGAATTGCTGGATTAGAAGAGGTGGAAGATAGAGCCAGAAGAGATGGTAGAAAATCATTCCACATTGCATCTAGTGGACTGTGTGGAAAGGAGAAATAACAGATGCTTTGAAGATAGGTCCAATTCCATTCATAGAGTTAAATGGAATTGTATTGTATCTTTCTTTTTTTGGTGTAAAGAAATAAATATAGAGGAATTAGAGCTATTAGATCTGTTAGGCTCTCTATAAGTCTTCCTTATTCTCTTCTTTTGTTCCTCTTTTGAAGGTCTCTTGCATATCCTTAATGCTGAGGAATACAACATTAGCAGTTTAAAAAAAAAGGCGCTTATAAGTTTGTTTGACCAGCTTATATAAGTTAACCCAAACGCCCTCTCAGATATCTGTCTTAAGGGGTCATAGTTATTCTTGTACTGTTAAGTGAAGGATAATTTGAATAAGATAAAAGTGATTAGAAATACTAACTCATTTTATGAAATTTGCAAATTCAGAACAAATTAGGAAATTTAGTTTGACTCGATAAAAGAAAAAGGAACCTAAGTTTGCTCTTCCTCTCTGAATTCAGTGATATGAGTTGGAAGTTGTTCAAGCTCCAACTTTGGTTGGTGAAAAATTTATGGTGCCTGTTTTTTTATTATATTACATCTACAATATTTTTTCTGTATCTTATATCATTTGTTTGGGTATCAGAATTGTGAAATAAGTGAACCAGTGAATGGGAAGCCTCGCGTGCCAATTATCAATGATGGAACACTTCCAAAGTTCTTGCAAGCAAGTCGCCTGCAGAATTCAGTTAGTAGAAACAATAATAGGCTGAAGATATTCACTGGAACTGCAAATCCTTCGCTTTCTCAGGTACACCAGATGATTGCTAATGGAGTTACGTGTATACCCTGTGTTTTATTCAACGCTTCGTGATTTCAAAATTCAGTTTAGTATATCTTCCCATCATATTGATTAAATGACAATCAAGAGCTTCTTATTTACTTCATAGTGTGAACAATGACATATTGAAATTCCCTTCCAGAATGTCACAGTTTTGTGCTTCCTCAATTTCAAAATAATAGTTCAGTGGTTTAAATTTGTTATCAACTAATTACTGAAATTGGACCAGCCTTACTAACAGGAAAAGAAAACAAGTCCTTGGGGGACTGTCTCCACTTGTACATTGTTCTTGACTATTCTAGCCTACTCAAGGATATAGTTTTGGAACTTGGGATGGAGAATGGTTCGCTTTCAGGCTGAATGTTTAAACTTTAAATTTTCAGTCTCATCAATTATTCAGAATTTCTTCCTTTTAAATATTGTTTAAGAAGTGGGTATAAAATTTGATACACTTATATTCTTTCGTATGTTTCTGGTCTTACTTTCTAGAATCTAACTGGTTGAATACCTGACGAAGCATAAGAACAGAGAAAGATGGAAGATTTCTTTGTTCTCTCTCTTATTAGGAAAGAGACACAATTACAAATATATCTGAAATTTCCATTACAAGAGTTCTTCATATTTTTGTTTTAGTAATTATTTACTTTTCTCCTCAATCTTCAAAATGTAAGAATCATTGTTAGTTCTAGCCATGAAATCCATCTGACTTCTTTTAAGTTTCTGCTACATCACTCTATACAACTGATGCAACATCTTTTGTCACTTAGGAAATTGCTTGGTACATGGGCTTTGAGCTGGGAAAGGTCAAGATCAAGCGCTTTGCTGATGGTGAGATTTATGTTCAGTTGCAAGAGAGTGTTCGAGGCTGTGATGTCTACTTGGTTCAATCCACATGTCCTCCGGCCAATGAAAACCTTATGGAGCTTCTGGTAATGATAGATGCATGCCGAAGGGCTTCTGCCAAGACAATTACTGCAGTTATTCCATACTTTGGATATGCCAGAGCTGATAGAAAGGCAAGTTAGATTCCGTTGCAAATTATATGCTTGCAAGATTCAAATTTTTGTTTCTTTGCCTCCTTTTGTTTGTTTCTGCTCCACTTTGAGGTGGGAATGGGTGTGGCATTGACCTCTGTATACCTGTATGATAATACTCAAAAAGTGATTTCAAAAGGAGGGTAGAGCCTAACCTGACATTTCTCTCTGCGCTTATGAAGTTATGAGTAGAAGTACTGTCACTATTTTCTTTCTTCCTCTTCTGGTTGTTTAATATCTTAGTGTTCTTTACTCTTGATTAGTGCAACGATTTTGTCGGGCAGTCTCTCTTTGTGTCCTTTTTTACTACTTTCTTTTCATACGCATTGGGATTTTTTCAGTTGGCAATAAGGATTTACAAATGTGAAGACAATTTTTTACATCATTTTATTACGTTCTAAAAATTATAAATTTTCTTTTTACAGACGCAAGGTCGTGAATCCATTGGCGCCAAATTGGTTGCGAACCTTATAACTGAAGCAGGTGCGGATCGTGTTTTGGCTTGTGATCTGCACTCTGGGCAATCCATGGGTTACTTTGACATTCCAGTGGACCATGTGTACTGTCAGGTAATCTCTTCTGTACTGTTGAAAATGCCCAAGTATTGCCCATTTTGATTTGGCAAATAAGCAGTCTCCATTCTTTGTGTGCACAGCCTGTTGTCCTTGATTACCTTGCTAGCAAGAAAATTTCGTCTGATGATTTGGTAGTGGTCTCTCCTGATGTTGGCGGAGTTGCTAGAGCACGTGCCTTCGCAAAAAAGTTATCTGATGCACCTTTAGCCATTGTGGACAAAAGGCGGCACGGACATAATGTAGCTGAGGTAGATACAAGCTAAACCTTGGTACTGCAGTTTATTGCATTGATATGCATTTTCGTTTTCTTCTTCTTCTTTTCTTCTCGTGGAAACAATGTCTGAGTTCTGGTCTCGCAATAGATTAGGTGAAGCTCTCCTTAAAAGTTCTATAAACTGTAGCAATGATTTGTCCTTACAATTGTTTACCATTATTTAATGAGTGTACCCTATGCTTCAATTCCCCACCCACTCAGCCCCACCTCACCCATCCACTCACCCCCCCCCCCCCCCCCCCCCCCCCCCCCCCCCCCCCCCCCCCCCCCCCCCCCCCCCCCCCCCCCCCCCCCCCCCCCCCCCCCCCCCCCCCCCCCCCCCCCCCCCCCCCCCCCCCCCCCCCCCCCCCCCCCCCCCCCCCCCCCCCCCCCCCCCCCCCCCCCCCCCCCCCCCCCCCCCCCCCCCCCCCCCCCCCCCCCCCCCCCCCCCCCCCCCCCCCCCCCCCCCCGCCCCCCCCCCCTCACCCATCCACTCACCCCCACCTCACCCTCTTCCTTTATTTGACCTTCTCTTTTACCTTTCCATGTTTTAAGGGGAATGGTGGAAGGTGAAAAGGTCCTTTGAGATCCTCCTGTCTGAAAGTGCTGTATAGGTTCAGGACTGTTTATTATGGCTTGCAACGGACTAGCAGTTTAAAGAAGTTCTTTTCTATAAAGTAGGCGCTATTTCTGTGTTCAATTCTCATAGTTTATAAGCATTCCTCCCAAGTCAAGTAACTTGTTACAAACTCTTTTTTTTTTGGTACAAGTAAATGTAATTCATAAACGAAGTACCGAGAAGATACTGTAAATGTATGAATTCTATGGACCTAACTCCTTTATGTGATGCTAAATATTGGCTAATACATCAAATAATTATTTTTCATGGGTCACTGATTGTGTTGAGACATGCATCTATCTGCACTTCTTCTTTAGTCTACCTCAACATGATTTTGGTGCTTTTCGATATAATTTTCTCTATGTAGGGATCATCATCTTAATTATTCCTTTTAAGGGTAAGACTGTACAATAGACCTTTGTAGTCCAGCTCTTCCTCGGACCCTGTGCATAGTGGGAGCCTTAGTGCACCCGGCTGCCCTTTAATTTGTTGCTTACATCTCTTGATTTAGCATCCCAAATAACAGAGGGGAAGACCCCTGATATGCTTGAATGCAAATGAAACGATGTTATTACTTATTAGCTATTATTATACTACATAAAGCATTACTTCTTGCAGCATTTCTTTCAATGCATCCTATTTTTTCCCCGAGTCATTATTTTGTTGTGTTTCAGGTTATGAACCTGATAGGTGATGTTAAAGGAAAAGTTGCAGTTATGGTGGATGACATGATTGACACCGCAGGTTAGTTGGACGCATTAATCAAATAATAATGTCAATCCAAAACGTGGAAAAAAATGGTTTATTAGTCTTCATTCTTTTTAGCATGAGCACTAACTGAAGCAGTGAACTAAAAAAAAACTGTGGTGATCTGTTGATTATCCTCTATCTCGAGTTGTTTGCCTGAAAATTTTTGGTTTTTATGTTCATCTTTTTTCCATTTCTGCATCTTCTTCAGATTAATTTTGTCTCAACTAGAACTTCCACTAGGATCACATGTGCAATGTGGAGTTCCTTTCGTTTTTGTTTGGCTTATTCTCTTGTTATGAGGCCTGGTTTGAAATTATGTGTTAACTTTATGCTTATGTGTCTTAGGGACTATTGCCAAAGGTGCAGCGCTATTGCATCAGGAGGGCGCACGTGAAGTTTATGCATGTTGTACTCATGCTGTTTTCAGGTAACATTTCTCATTTATTTGACACAGTATGCTGCATTAAGAAAATGGATCCACTTCAACACAATCTATCTTGTGTGAAATTTTTTCTATTATGCGTGTTGCTTAAATTGCCTTTATATTAACTTACTATTCGATATTCTTGTTTTGACAGCCCTCCTGCGATTGAGAGGTTGTCAAGTGGCCTTTTTCAAGAGGTCATCGTCACAAACACAATTCCTGCGATAGAAAAAAACTGTTTTCCACAGCTGACTGTTCTTTCAGTTGCAAATCTTCTCGGTGAAACAATTTGGCGAGTGCATGATGATTGTTCTGTTAGTAGCATTTTCCAGTAGGTAGGAGAGATACTAGCAACCCCACAGGTTACTGGAGCACTTGTTTAGCTTCTGTTTTTTTTTGTTCCTTAAATCATCTTACCTCATTTTGCTCTTCCATCAGTTGACGCCTCCATTGGCATATGCATCTTTCCTTTACCTTAGAGGTGACTGACATGCAGAGTCAACATATTCTTCTCTCTTTTTCGCTCGTCTACATTAAGTCCTACATTTTTGTTCTTCTTAAGTTAGATAGTTGGAAGGATAGGACGATGGTAAGCCATGTGCTTATTTTTTCAGTTAGGATTGATTCATGCCCTGAAATCTGAATCCTGAAAATGCTGCTGTGACATTATCCCTCGTCTTTGCCAAAGATCGATATGAAGCTCCTGTCCGAGCCTCAGGCAGGTCGATATGAAACTCCTATCCAAGCTTCAGTTCCTGCCTGAATTTTGACTCTTGCCACACCTATGGAGCTTTGTTTTACTATGGCATTTATTTGTTTTAGTAGAAACTGGTCCAGTGAGAACTATTGGAAGGACAGACAAGTTGGTTGTAATGTCATGTGCCTGAATATTTGTTCAGAACTTCTTGTTATTTTGGCCAATGCATGGACGAGCAAGATAACAACCGTCCTCTATAACAATATTTTTGCTATAACGGCCAAGTTTTTTTGGAATCAATTTTTCATGTTATGTTATATCATATGTTCTCGATAGCAACATTTTGCTATAACAATAAATAAAATAAAAAATCTAGGCAAACAATATTGTTATTAAAAGAGGTTTGACCGTATATATTTGTTAGTGCAATAAAAGGGACTTTAGAGATTGGCATAATACATAAACAAACACTCAACTTGGCCTCAACTGGCAAGTAAATACTCTTATTTTGCATATGCACATCTACATTTCAACTTGTCACCATTGTGTCAGTTGAACACTCTAATGTACAAAATGATCATCTAGATATCTCTACAGTGTATGTGGCACATCAACATTGGGTGTCCATGGGACATAGTTGGGACGAGTTGAATGTCTATATGTGTACCCTGAACGTTCGTAAATGGGAAGAGTTGTGCTCACTTGCCACACGAGGCCAGGTTTGAGTGTATTCTTATGTATTATGTTCCATGAGTTGATGAAGATTGAAGTGAATGCAATTAGTAATTTTATTCAATTGACCTCAAGTTACAAGCATAACACTTTCTCTAAATGTAAAAACTTGGAAATTTCTACCTAGACATAATTTGACTAAAATATACAGTTGTTCCCTTCTATTCTAATGGGGTAATGTAAACAAACAAAGATATACTATAAAAAGAGAAATCAAGAAAATCAATGTATGAACTAAATTCACACTAAGGGATACAAGCCTATGAAAAAATACATTATAGGATGTCCCAGATCAAAATCAAATACAAAGGAAAACTCACTTTGTACAAAACATTAGACACATTTTTCTTGTAGCCAGCTCTAGTATATGATCTGTTCTTTGTAGCTCTTTTTCATCGCGAGTTGTATTCTGGCAACTCACCTAATGTTAGTTTTTATCTGCAGAAGTTTCATGATTTAGTACTCTCCAATCTCTAGCAGAATGTCAGGATGTACATGTACTGCAGCACTTTTAACATTGAGAACTCTCTGTAGTTTTCTGTGGTCAAATATTTCCACTTCTACTGAGAACATTGAGCTTACAGGTCTATGATCTGATAGTTTTAACTCTGCGCGCTTGTAAAACAGCTGTTTTATACCTTTTCCTAACCATAGTATACGATCACACCTGCATAAACATGGGGAAGAAAATACAGTTAAAATTTATGTCATGCTTCTCGCGATTCTTCTAGACTATCAAACTTGTTGCTTACCATGCTGGTGATCTCTTCTTTTCCCCTTCTCTCATAATTTCTCCGTTGTATCTATCACTGTTGAATTCATACTTGTAAGTTGGTGCAAAGTTAACCAATCCTTCCTTCCAACCAGCAAAGACATGCCCATTTTGGAGTTCTTTGTGTAACTGCTCATGAGATGCAACACTAATTCGTTTAGTTTTCGTAGGAACTTATGCATAAAATGGAAACTTGAGACAAAGTTTAGTATTGACTTACTTGATCACTGTTGAGTAGTTCATCCCATTGCTTATTGGCAACAAGCTTCCGTACCTCAGCATCCGCCATACTGATTCGATAATTTAAGTCTCCAAACCAGAATATCTGACTGTAGATGTTGAAGTAAAGTTATATATATTGTTTGTAGTTGCTGAATTAACATGTCTTAACGCGAAAAACTGAAATGGTTATTGAGTTCACTGTAGAAATACTTACTCATGAGATGGAATTGTTTGTGGTTCATCTGTATCTGTGTCAAATATGGACGAGAAATGAGTACGTCTCATGATTTCATTGACATCAGAGTTACGTCTTTGCTCTGCCCCTTCCTTTTGTCCGGATGACAAATGAGAACAAACAAAGCATAGCCGCGACTGATAAAGAGACATGCTCACAGAAACAGATCCCTGTAATGGCATGGCATCACTTCTAAGTCAGCTATTAGTGCTATAATTGGCTTATGGATCATTTACAAGTGTAGACAGATACATAAGGGGTCGGAGAAAGAGATAGGGGGAATCGAAAGCAGTAAGAGCCGAGCCTGATTGTCTTAACTGAAAGAAGAAGCATTACCTTATTGCCCATGTATCCCATAAGTCCAATTCCAACAGCAGAGACTTGCAAGTTGTTTATATGCCTCCTCAATCTTCGACGTACCCAAACTGATACATATATACCAACCATCTGCTTGCTGACAATACGTACATACATTGGACGAGACTTCACTGTATGATCTAGAAGTGAATTTTCTTCTTTGACCTCTGGAAATTCATCAAACATGTCATTTTCCTCATCAAAAAATTGATCAGGGCCATCAGAAAGAGCATCAAGAACTACAGGTTCTTCTTTTTGATCCATTGACATCAATCCTAAGTTTCCTGAGCTTTGGTGCACCCTTTTTAACCCTCTACCGTCTAATCCTGTAGTGTCAAAAGCAAGAAGATTGTCTATGGTACCAAAACCAAATCTCGCGGTACTACTGAAGACTCTCCTCAACTTAAAATTAGAAGAAAGAACTTGAGATGTCGCATCCAGTGGACGTTCAGGCCAATCCAATCTACTGTCACAATCAATGCCATATATCCTCTTTAAATAGAGATTCTTTCCTAAGTTGATAGTATTGTTCTCGAAAATCAAAGCTGTATCGAGTGATGCCTCATCTTCCATTCTATCCAGTTCAGGAGCATCAACCACATCCGCAATTATGTCATCAGCAGAAGAAGTCCTTAAAACTGGAGAAGGCGGAGCACTATAACTCTTGAGCTTAGTTTCAGGTTCCTCCGTCCTGTTTAATGTTCTTCGGATGATCGTCTCCCATTTCGGAACTGGCCTTCTATTTTCTGCTCCCAGTACATTTCCAGCATTCAGAGGGACCACCTCTTGGAATCTGTAAACAGCAGATACAAACTTTTTAGGTTGAACTCATTTATGTGTCTTCTAATTTTCAACAAACAACATGTTGCAGGTCATATACAACTACATATAAACTGGATAGATTCAATAAATGGATCTTCAGCCTAACTCAACCCGAAAAGCTAGCTCGAGAGGTGAGTATTTTCCAGGTCACATATAAAGAGACCATCCACCCCGTAAGAGCCCGTTGTTGGACTCTTCAACCCCACACACCCAAGACTAGACATCTGAAGCGTGGACAATTTTTTAATATGGAGGACCTAACATTAGGTAACAAGAGTTAAGATGAATTCTGCTCTGATATCATGTTAAAGAAATGAACATCGGGGCTAACTCAACCCCAAAAGCTAGCTCAAAGATGGGACTCTTCAACATGGATTTACTGCACAACGGATTATACACGAGCTAAAACAAACAGGAAATCTGCTACAGTTCATTGGAAAGTGCCTAAAAGCATTTTATGCATACCCAAGAATATAGATATCTGCTGGTTCTTGCATACAAAGCCACTCATCAATATCTAGATCTTCATCTGGAAGTCTTCCTGCCACATTCCATGTACCAACTGTAACTCTGCAGAAAATCAAGGCTTATAAAAATCTTCCAACCGGCCTTCAAGTCTGAAAAAAATCAAACCAAACCACCATGTAACTGATTGCAAAAACAAACCTCACTTCTTTCGTGTTAATATACTGAGCTCTCAAAGTTTCTGACTTCCCTCTCCTGTGTCTCGGTGTATACTCAACCGAAGGCTTCCCTGATCAATTCAAAGTTCAACTAATCAAACATCATAATAAGAGTACTCAATCAGTATAAACAGGACTCAAACTTAATGATCGAACTGATGAGTCTCAGTTTAATATATGAAAAAGAGTTTATGTTTTCATTGGAATTTTCATTAGTACCTGTAGTTTGAGTCTGGCATTCATTAAGCTTCCCCGGTTTTCGATGTCCATGATCTTCAACCATCCTTTCATCTTTGAGTGAGCAAGCTAGAAATTCACAACTAATCAATAACAAACATCAAGAATCAATTTTTTCATATATATATATATGAAAATTTACATACCATCATCTTCACTCTCCGTTTCGGTATCAGCTTCATCTTCACTAAAATCATACACCTTAGGTGCAATATTCAGCCATTTCTTCATCACAATGGATGGCCAAAAGGCCTACAACAAAACAACAGCTTAACATTTAAAAAACTTATTAATATGAATACAATATATATACATAAAAAAAGAACATGTAAACACACACCTGAGATGATCTCTGTCCCCTTCTTGATTTCATTTGCATAACACACAATCAAGAAAACAGAAAACAGAAAACAAATCAGAAACAGAAAAGAAGAGAGTAAATGTTTCAAGTGTTGGTATGAGTTTAATATGTAATATATTTATGTATATAAGGGGGATAGAAAAAAGGTTGTCAATTTGGTCAGACTTTTTTTATTTTTAATACAAAGAAGATTCTAAGTAAGAACAAATGGAAAGGACAGAAAAACTATTGGCCAAAAAAAAACTTAACAGATATATGCTGTCCTCCAACTTGTATATCAAAAATCAACAAAAAAAAAAAAAAAAATTAAAAAAATCTTGAATGGTCCTAAAACTTGTCATTTTATTGAAAAAAAAAGGTTGATATTATTGTTAGACACAAATTAAAAGAAGTATAAAAATTCAATGAAGTCATTATCAATTACAAGAAATCTCAAGCACTAAAAGTTCAGTAATTAATGCTTGCACTCCTCAAAGGAAGACGGAGTCAGAATTTTTATTAAGGGGTTTAAAATATAAAAAAATAAAAATCTAAGAGGGTCAACATCTACTATATATACATAAAAAAATTAATTTTAATTATGTATAAACAATATAATTTTCTGTTGAAAGAGGTTCGGATGAACTTCTTATCATGCATATAAGCCATTGATACCAAAAGTTAGGACAAATTTTTATGCTAATAAAATATTCCAAAATGCAAATCAGCTGCTTTAATCTTTATTGCATGGTTGTAACTACAAGACAAAAATTAATTAAAAAATTCCAGAACAATACAGACCATATTAATGTGGAATATTTAAAAAGGATTAAGATCTAGTTTTTTTTTTATATATATAAAAAAAGGTAGTTAATCA